GAAGAGGGGTGAGGAGAGGTTCTTTATTTCGGAGGTGTTTGGGAGGGGGGAATTGGGAAGAGCAGAAGGGAGGGAGCAGGGGGCCGTACCCTTGGGTGTTTTGGGGGTAAATGTTGCGGTGCCGTTCATGAAGGGGGCGAGTGGGAGGGTTCCGTTTCCATTTCCGTTTTCGGTTCCCTTAGGGTTGGTTAGGGGTTTTGTTCCGTTGCTTTTGGGGGGTTTGCTATTTGGCTTGGGGGTGGTGGCAGGTGCATTTGCTGGAGATACTGGTGCGGTACTTGGTACGGTACCGGGAGCGACTCCTGCTTTGGCAGCAATGATGGCTTGGTCAATCTTGGGGATTGCAACTTGTCCTGCGATGGGCCAGCCCGAGGCCGCAGGTGGACATTCGGGGTGGGAGAAGGTTGGTGTGTAATCTGCTTCGGCAACTCCTACAGGGACTGCTTTCTTCCATTCGTTAACGAGATTGGTAAACCCTGGCTCGATAGGAGTAGGTTTTCCCGTTGCCTTGTCGTTGTCGTATTTTACTAAGCCGTAGTTATTGGCCTCTTGAACCCATTCGTATATAATACTTCCACTCCAAGTGCCGCTCATTTCAGGTCCGAAAATAGCACCTTGGTCGGTGAAGAGACGTGGCGCAGGAAGGTTACAACCTGTCTCGGAGAAGAAAATTGGGATTGAGTAGCTTTCTGACATCTTTTGGAGGTTAGAGTAGCCGGAGACTGTGAATGAGGAGTCGCCACACCATTCGTACGAGTTAAGACCGTAGAAATCGATGTTGTCCTTGGGATTGGGCTCGCATGCGAGGTAGTTTTGGAGTTCTTTTCTAACTTCTGCTACATCGGCGCCGGAATACCCAATTGGGATAGTTCGGTATTCCTTCAAGGCGATATAAGCTTTGATATCGGCCGCTGCTGCCTTGATAAATGGTGATGCGTTTGCTTGAGTTGGTTTTGCTACAACCTCATTGCCTATCCAAAAGCCTCCCACGTTTTCATACTGGTGCATAACGTCCAGAACCTCCGTGAAAGCTGTAAATTGGCGTGGGGTCCATGTTGGCGCGTCGGAAACAATACTGGTGTTAAAGGTGTCCAGATGCAGCCATAAGTAAATCCCAGCATCGGCAAAAATCTTCATACAGTCGTCGTGGTTCTTGAATGGGTTGATGTGATATACTCTAATAGAATTCGTCCCAATATACTTCATTAAATCTGCGTCGGTTTGACATTGTGTTGCGTCGATCAGAGGGTCATCTGGCGTTCCTTGGTATGCGACACCTATTTCTCGTCAGCATGATCCTTCGGTGAGAAGAATAAATTGAGGATGGATGGACCTTTAAGAAAGAATTGCTGTCCGTCGGCAAAGAATTTAGACCCCTTGATTGTTAATGGTGAAATAGCAACGGCGGAATTGATTGCAAAGCTAGCTATCAAAGCAGCACGAAAGAAAGTGTTAAGCATAATGAGAAAAATGGCGAATACAGTGAAAGGATTGAACTGCAATGATTTTTGAAAAGGATGAGCAGAGAATTGATGCACAATCCGCGCAAAAACGGAGAAATCAACACGCAATAATGAGGGAGAGGATACAGTAGGAGCGGAGAAAGAAAAAAAGGAGTGCGATGCGAACAGAAAGCAAAGCAAGAACAAACAATCGGAACCAAAGCCGTGGTATAAACAAAAAACAGGAACAAATGGGAAGGTGCGAGATGGAAATGAGGTTTAGATGGAGGATGAAGCGAGAGTCAGACTCAGCCTCAAGAACTGTCCGTCACCAGTCAACATGAAACTCTGCCTGCAATCCCTGTTGCCCGCCGCTGTCATCGAATCAACCAAAGTTTTTCGATGGGTCTGAATGTGACCCTTGCGGGTCATCATTTTCTACTTTCTACCGAAAAAATCGGGGATGGGCGAGAGCAGTCTCCCGTTAGTGGGGAAGACGTTTCATCATTCCCATGCCAAACCTGATCTTTTCTGCCATTGGTTGGTAGATCCACGGTCCTGCTCAAACCGAAGATCGTACACCAAAGCAGCAGGCTTTCCAAGGTTGTTAGGGCTTTCGAGTACCGTAAACTCGTAAACTCCGTACCGTAGTAAAGTCGTTAACGTCGTTCCTTAGGTAATTAACAAACACCTCCCTCTCCCTCGTACCTCTCGCCTCACGAGAAGGATTCAGGAACAAAACCTCATCCAAGAAATATACGTACAACCCCTCGGTAACATCTCCCCACCAAGACCAAAGGATCAGATACTGTACCGATTTGGATTGATTGGTTTCGTTTCTATTTCTATTTCTATTTCCGTCCGGGTTTTTATGCTTGAGATGTGCTTCAAGATCGTCGCATGGTGTCTGCCCCTCTTTTCTGGAATATTCCTCGGTGTTAATGTGGTTTAGTATGGTACTCGTGAGAGGATTGGATCTTACCTTTGAATAACCGCGTAGCTCATGAGAGAATTTTTCCGTGCTATTAGAAGCTCTTAAATTCCATTAGCTCTGGGTTGTTTTAAGGTTATTTGTCGAGATAAAGTCACATGATATCACATGACTGAGTCTATCGCTTTCCATTCCAATTGAGGTGATTGAAGCGTAGCAACCCCCTGTTCCAAGCGAACCAATCACTATCTATTTCCCCCCTCTCACCACTCTGTCCTCTTTTAATGGAGAGTTACGCGTCTTAACATCCGTATAACCTTCTCACTTATAGGATACTAATCGTGGCAAGACCGTTCTTTAATAATCGATGATTTACACAGAAATAAAACAAATATTCTACAAAAGCTAAATGTACAATTTTAATTTCCCACATCAACCCATATTTTCCATTCCTCTCCCTCAAGCCGTGACGTGACCTCCGCATCCATTCGCAAAGGTAAGGTGTCTGATCTTGAACCAAACAACCAACAAGCGAGACCACCAACCAAAAAACGCCACGCTAAGAGTAGTAACGAAATACCAGAAACAATGGAAAGAATTCATTGACTCCTCACTTCCATTCATCATTCGAAGGAGGAACACACACTAGATCCCCGTGAAATCGAAATGTCAAGTTCAACATCAGGTCAGTTTCGCCAGCGTAGGCTCTTCCTCATCCTCTTCTTCTTCCTCTTCCGCCTCCTCCGCCTCGTCCTCACCCGGTTCATCATCGTCACCACTCCCCTCCTCTTCATCTTCGCTCTCTTCATCGTCATCGCCCTCTTCGTCGCGATCCTGATGAAGACGGTGAAGGGGATTGAACAGTCTCTCCTCATCGATATCATCCATGTCAGGAACATCACTAAGATCACTCTCGTCGTCCGCGCTATCATGAACACTTCCCCTCACCGACTCGGAAGCTTGTCGGGTACCTTGAGTCTGCTGTGCTTGTGCTTCTTTATCGTTAGAGTCTTGCTCTTCCCGTTGGAGTTGTTCGTTCGCATGTTCGTGCTCCTCTTCGTTTTCGTGCTCAGTACTCTCCTGCACCGTCTGCAAACCCCCGTTTCCATTCTGCGACTCCTCGACATCCGGCATAGGCTGGTCAACCTCAGCATTCGAGCCCAGAATCGTCGTGGGTTCCGAGAGGCGAGAACGGCCAGAAGGAGGGGGTGGAGCCCGAGCAACCTCTGGCATGCGCGAGACGGCGATTTCAGACCGACGTAACACTTCTCTTCTACTGATACCCAACTTTCGAGGTCGTGAGCTCTCCGAACCTGCAATGGTGACTGGTACAGGGATTTGGGTACCATTCATATCCATGACGAGATTGTTAAGACTCATAGACCCTAAAGGTCGAGGTGCGACACCCCCTTCCCCTGAGCCATCCAACTGTGTATTGGCAAGTGAGCCTGGATCAGGACCTGGAAGCGACTTGCCAATTTGCGTGTAGAGTGCTGCCCAGGCATCGTTGATAAGATCGTCAATTGGCGCTGATTTCATTGCGTTTCCGTTAAGTTTCTTGAGTTCAACACCATCACGGAGTGCTTCCAATAATGGATGCTCAAGTGAGGGGTCAGCGATCCAAGATGTTAGACGTTCCGAAATGATATCAAATTCTTCGCTTGAAACATTCTTGAACACCTCGTCCATGTTTTCTGGGATCTGACAGTTCTTTCTGATGAGTTTCAAGTAAGTATGACATACTTCTCCCCATACAACGCTGAATTTGTGGAAATCGTTCGACTTCTTTTTGACTCGCTTTGCAAATTGTTCCATATTAACTTTGTCGTTGAGAACGTACAGCATGTGGCACATGAACCGAACGTATCGCTCCATATATACACAATGTCGACCAGGTCTCTCTGCATCTGGTTTCCAGACTTGTATATGCATAGTCTTCGTGAAAATGGACTCACGGAACTCATGTCGAACTGCAGCTGCATTTGTCTCATCAGGACTTTCAACGTCCCATAGAATATTTGCGACCCGAGCAACCATTCGGTGTTGCCAATGTTGCTTGTCTAAAGAACGAAGGTTTTTCATCGTATCGAGAATGAAATTCCTCCACTCTTGATCATTTGTAATCTCAACCCGCTCCCCCTTATTTAAAGCCATCGGTTGCTGTTGCAGTAGGTCCGCCGCAGGCTGTAACTCCATTGCTTGACTTAAGACTAGCTTGTGAACAATGGATACTATTTTGTAGTGAGGTTCAAGGATGGGTTCTTGTCGCCCGTCGCGAGGCATTGGCACAGTCTTGATGGCTTTGAGAAAGGCGTTCAAGACTGAGTCCATTGATGGTCTGGCGGGATCTCCAGGTTCTTTGTCATACATCTTCCATAGACATTTTCCGAGCATGTAGTGGCTCCTGCTCGAGTTAGTACGTATTAAATCCACAGGAGATGAACAAAACTTACATCCAGTTGGTTGGGCGATCCGCTAGAGACTTTCTAAAGAGAACAGCCGCGAATTTCCAAACCATGTAACGACTCATTTCCCCATGTAAAGGATTCTTATACATTCCGGTAGATCCACTCATATGCTTCTCAAATCCGTCGACATGGAAAGCCTCCATACTGAGAGGCTCGCGGGACGACGCGTACAAGCGCATTCCAAACTCGTGATACATCTCGGAAAGTTTCGCAGCAGTCTCCAATGAATCATCAGCAGTTCGGTAGGCAGTAGAAATCGCCAGGATATAACAATGAATAGAAGATCGCTGTAATTTAACGAGATCAGCCCGATGATTGTTGATTTTGTCCGCACTCCACATGACCTCCTCCTCCAGTTCGGCATCAAAACATTGTGCAAGTCGGAACCAGGTCTCCCAGTGATCTGATGAGAATTGAAGTTGCAGTCTCAAAAAGGAAGCTGCGACTTTCATATCATCTTGCTGTGCTCCTGGGCCCAAGCGCTTTTGCGTACGGAATTTGGTCAGTGCAATCATTCCCATCAAGAAGTACCAGTTTTTGTTGGCCAATGGGCTTTCTGCGGTGGTAACCGGAAGAGAATCGACCTCTACCTGCCCCTTGAAGGCTTTATACATATTGAGTGGTCGTATAGAGCCCCGCAGATATTCGGTATAGTTGCGAAGATTATGCATCATCTGTGGCGATGGCTTGGCTGGGCCAACTGCGGCCTGCATCTTCTCAATGGTAGGGCGAAGTTCGTGCTTGAGGAGATCTTTCATCGACATTCCATTCGCCAAGGCAATAACTTGGTCGGCGATATTCAGAACTGTACGTCGGTATAATGTCTCAGTAGGACATCCATGGTCATCTAGCATGTAGGTACCAACACCAAGTTTTATGCCATACAGGTCAAAAAGAACTTGACCAAGATAGTCTTCCCACTTGTCAACATTTTTCAGTCGAATCAATTCTACCTTCATCATCTTGAGAAAGATCTTATTGGAAACCTTGCAGCATTTGCGCAAACCTAAGCAGTAGTGAACTAAAGCAAGGAAATCTGCAAGTTGATTTTCTGGATTAGCGTATAACTCCGGGCATTGATTCATAGATTCCTTGACCATGGTATACTGTAAAGACCAAGTTCGGACTTGCATCTCGCGAAGTTTGCTGATGAAACCATTGAACGATCCTTGGGGGGAATATGCAGAGGTTTGAGGTAACACGGTCAAGCCGAGTCCGACTTCGTCGTCAAAAATTGCAGCAGAATGCAACACGCGAGATAATTGAGCTAATGCGAAACAAGTTGACTTCAAGTGCCTCTCGTCAACAATTTCAAAGCATAAAGATGCATCATTCAACGCAATCGTGAGAGATTTGACAAGCAGGTCATCCAGCGCTTTCAACCACGTTAACAATTTGTGTCGACGGGGATCATCGGCACTATCCACGTAATCATCCCCTCTCAGATCCCCTACAATAATCTCGATGCTTTTAAGATGACAAGAGAAGACCTTGGTGTTGTAGCCGATACTTGAATATGCGTCACGCAACCTTTGCCATAAGAAGAGTCGTAGGGAAGTGCTTCCGCTCTTTAAAAACTTCCACATCTCGCGCAGAGCGGCAGGTGTACCATCAGTGGCCTCAGTGGCCATTCCATTTTCACCATCTTCTGGAGACAGGCAAGCAGATTCCGGGTCGAGAACTGGCTCTAGGGTTTCGATTATTGCAACAGGATCCGACCGGTCTGTTTGAAACAGATTGAAGAAGAAATCCATGGTGGTCAGCCGCGAAACCTCACGATCAGCTGCATCAATTGAAATCTCTGGCATGACAGCATTGTTCTGAAGTTCCATTGGTGGCTTTTGGACTTCTTCCAAGAGTGCCTTCATTTCCGTCCAGCAAAGCACCTTGTGCTCACGAGAAACACTATCAGCTGTCGTTGAGTGGAACACAGATGCCCATAGATATCGTACCGACATGTCGTCGCTTGGCTCCAAATTTCGTGCTCTTATCGTCTCTGCGGCATAATCAGCCCATCGATCGAGGCGTTCTTTCGTCATGATACGTATTTCATGTTGAACAATGCTGTTAGGGTTGGTGATGCGGCAGTATATATCAAGATGAAGCTCAAATAGAGTCTCAGCTATGTCTTCCAACATAGCCAGTCTTGCTTTGTCTCCATTGACGCCTTTAGCATATTCCATATCCTCTTGAAAATGGATACATATCTCCGAGTCCGCGAAACTGATAACTCGCACCAAAGCCACTTTCAAGTCCTCGCTCCATAAAGTTGAGCGATAAGTCTGAAGCACGCTGAGAGCCCATTCGTATATCACATCTTGAAGAGGCATCCATTCAGACTCAACTCTTGAGATGAATGTTGACAGGCCATCCAACTCCGAATAAAGGGGGATGGTGCTGACTTTTTGAGGTCCAGATTTAGAGTGCTCGAGGAAAGCTGCCAAACCTGCATTTGCACTTGCGGCAGATGAACCCAAGATATCTGCAGCATTTCCGTTTACAAAAGTGGACGCTTTTGCTTCATCCCAATTTTTAAGAACATCGCGTAAGTCTCTCACGGCTGTATTGGTCACGACCTCGGCTCGATCGGACATATCCTCATTTTTCAAGGCGTTCTGGAGATCTGAGAATTTCCCAAGGTCATCTACGCCCAATTTTGTAAGGATATTACCCACATACTCAAAGACGTCCTCGTCTGCTCTGATGAATGTCTTGAGCTGCTCTGCATATTGAGTTGCTGGATCCACAAAACCTTCGACATCATTACGATTCCTAATACGTTTACTTCTTTTCTGAGCGCCACCTGCACTATCTTCGTCTGGCGTGTCTCGAATTCCAGCAGCCGATTGTGATCGTTTCCTGGTAGGCAGACCAACACTTGCCTGTCGTTCAGGCTCATCAACAACAGTCACAATTGCAGTGGTTGTTTCAACAACCACTGCTGCGTCGTCCGATTTAGAGGATTCGGGAATGGATGTATCTACAGCAGGCGGAGGTTCATTGGTTTCGGTCGCCGGTGACTCGGTTGTGTCAACATCCTTCATAATCTGATCACCTTCCAATGTATCCGATACAGCGACTACAGCTTCTGCAACTATTTCAGGTAGTGCCGCCTGTTCCTCTGGGACGCTCAATAGAATCCCAGTTCCGGAAAGTCCCAATGGAGAGAGGTATGCTTGGCAAAGCTCATTACCTATAGATGACCAGCTTCGTTGAGGTGAAATTACTACGAATCTTTTGTCCATTCCATCTTGGTCATTGTTTTCTGGAGAAGGCTCCTCGAGAGTTTTGGTGGGATCTGGCAAGAATGGGTACGGGTCCAGGTACTTGTTTAAAAAACTGGGCATTTTCCTCTTCCGAAAAGGAGCCATAATTGGGTGTGATAAAGCAGTATCATCGGAAAGGACATTCAACACTTCTTTCAATTGCTCTCCCGCAAATCCTTCCTCCAAAGACGCTGGGTCAACCTCTGCAACCGTGGGGTCATCGTCGGCCTCAACCGCCGCCTCCAGACAGTATCTTGCGATTGCCCTGCTTCCCAAGGTGCTTGCTACACGCGCCGTCCGTCGCCATAACTCTGTATCTGACTGGTCGCTGACCAATGCGAGTGTGAAGAAGCTGAGGGCAGAATGGGCTTGCTTGTTCAGTAGTACCTTTTCCAATAGGGACTCTGACTCTGTTAACGGTGCCCCATTGCGTCGCCCCTTGGCACAGTCTAGCACAAACTGGGCATGGTTCTTGTAGGATAAATACAGTATTTGTGGAAGTGTGCTTGGTGAGTCTGGTCCTCCCAAGTCTAGATCGAGGGCGAAGGATTGGTCTAGTAGCTCGAGTTCGGGATTCAGTTCGATGCGCTGGAATTCGGTTATGGACTCGGGATAGGTAAAGATTTCCGATCGGAAAAGATTCTCATATGCTACTTTCGCTTCCCCAAAAGCTGTAGGTCCTTGAGCGTGCAGTTTGAGGGCTGTTTGGTACAATCTCAGCGCTTCTTCAATCTACCAAATCTGTCAGCACTTCACTCTCCCCCACCATCCTCCTATTATCCACGCACCTGTAGCTCCTTGGTATTATCAACCTCATCATCAATATGGTCGTCGGGTTCAATATTCAGTGCCGTAAAGCTCGCCTTTTGAATGGTCAGTCTGGTACTTTTTCCCTTCCATTCATAGGGTCCATACCATGTTTGCGCTGGCACAAAGATGCGCGTATAGTACAAAGATGCACGTATCAATAGAACACACGCGACGGGTCCCTAGGATTACTCCTCAAGTCTGATTCCCTTCCTGACTCAACCCAGGTCTCCAAGACGTGACAACATCTATCGTAAGGTTTAGGTCGCCTGGTCTTTTGGTCCTATTGTTAGTCTCAGGACATAGGCGCGTATCCTTCGATTTTTTGTGGGTTCTTGACGTGACTTGTCCTAAGATTTACTCGTATTGTCTCTCAACGTAACTTGGACGATTTGTGCATGAGGACGACGTAACAAATTTAGGGTAGACAGTCGCGTAAGGTTGTGATTTTATGTTGGATAGATGGATGTCAGGTAGGACGTGAAAGGAAATTAGGGTATTTTTGGCGTGACTTGTGAATCGTATTTATTGGCAGAGAACAGAAATGGGGGGCATGTGGGTGAATTGTCGTTGTATACCTAGAAACAGATGTGATTTGAAGTTACTCCCATACTTGGTACAAATTGTCGCAGCGTAGTGTAGCATGGAGAGCTGTGGTTGAACAAGGATCAGCATCACCCGCGTATGCGCTTAAAATGATCTGCCGCCAACCAATCGGAGGGCGTGTTTAGCAGTACGAGATTCTATCAAGTATAAGTAGGGAGGTATGAATCAAGAACATGGAAATATTGTAGCTTGACTTTGTTCAAACATAGTAAAGTTTTTCACGCCTTCAGCCTCCTAAACACAGAGTATAACGCAAATCAATCAATTTTTTTTATGGATCAAGTCTACATCCATTCATAGGTAGTCCTAACTCCAGTTATAAGTGTCTTCACGTGATACAGCACTAAGTGAGCCAAGCCCAGGGCTCCAAGTAGAGTAAGGCTGAAGTTGGCTGAGGTGATAACCCCAGCCAATCGCAGGGGGTGAGCTCTGGCCACAGAAGGGAGAGAGGTACGGAGTCTTTGGGATACTTTGGTAGCCACTGTCAACTTTCACCACCCCTCCTTAGACCTCTGTGCAAGAACAGTGCGTCGCATGTTGTTGCTGCGATTCCAATCCCTCCTCTTCTTCCGCTGATATCAGCAATCCACCAACACGGTCGTTAAGTAGGAACCCAGACTGACCCAGACCAACCAAGATGGTTGCGCCAGCTGTACCAGAGTAGAAATGCCCACCCCTCAACTTAGTTTACGCGCAAGCTAGCTAAGGTTCCACCACCACTGTGCTAACCATCCTTGGAATGACAGGTTGACGGAGGATATCCTACATGAATCCATTGATGCCAGATCAGAAACTCTGGCCGCTCTGCGAGAGTTGGGCCCCCCAGATTTGGTTCAATTGATTAAGCAAGCTCCAAGAAACCCCGGAAAGCAAGTATGTGGAACTCGGTCAATTCATATCCAAATACGCTCTAACGAAGGAATAGATTGGTGTGTATCACCATGTTACTGGCGTGGATGCCTCTTCGTCGGCCAGTTTGGCAGCCTACATCAATACCCTCACCTACAAGGAGACACAACAATCAACGACGAAGATCGTGGAAGGAGTTTACTGGTACGGGAATTTTATTGGTTGAGATTTGGAGCCATCTGACATTTGACAGCTGCTACAACGCTTTTTCGAGACTTGATATGCGCGTACACGTAACGATTCCTGGAAGTGTCGACAGCTATTGTGTTGATGAGCGTGGAGACAAGAGACACGCTTCAGATGAATTATGGTTGGAAACATACCTGTGCAGCCTTCTTCGGGCGTATTCATATGCGGATGATGGAAGCGGAGAGACAATCAGGAAGATCATGGGTGTTCGCAGATTCAACCCGGTAACAACTACAGAGACAGAGCACCGCTTTTTACAAGCTGCAGAGCAGTTGTTTTTTCGAGGTACGATTGTTGAGATTATGCTCATTAGCCCCATACTCATCAAAAACAGGTTGGCAGCTAGGATCCGACTCGGTTGTCCAGGTTCCAAATAATGTCTCCAACCACTTAACAGCCGGACTCCTCAAGTATTTCCATACGACGGGTCGATTTGCTTCAGGTATTAACCTCTTCGAAAAATTACGAACCCGCAATGTCGAAGTCTCCTCCTTGTTGGCCAAAGTTCTATTTATGGGTAATGAGGAAGTTCAGGCTGTTCGAATTCTCCACGACTCCGTTAAACAATCGCCCATGGACTACGTGATGCTCGACACCCAAGCAGAATATTTGAAGAAGAAAGCCCTGAACCCAAGATACCCGGATTTGAAGCAGGAACGATTACAAATGGCCCTTGGCTGTGCGGATCGAAGTACCGTTGCAGCACCTAGCGAATTCGGCACCTGGGCAAGACTGGCCGAAGTCTACGTTTCGATGGAGGACTGGGAGAATGCCCTGACTACATTGAATTCCTGTCCTATGTTTACGTATCAAGATAAAGATGCCCCAATCATGCCCGAGCCCAAAGAAATCTATCTACCCACCTTGCCCGAGACACGACTAGATGAAATTGACAGCGAACCGGAATCGAAATACGGAGAGCAAATCCATCCCAGTCTACATAATCTCCGAGCGGCCCAATACAAGGGAACTTTCAAACATGCCTACAGTATCCTCACCGAAATGACTGCAAAGATTGGATGGGACCAGTTACTCAAGATTAGAAGCAATGTGTTTGTAATGGAGGAAGAATACCGTAGCGAAAATAAACCACCTGTTGGTCAACAAGGTGATGACACTGCAGCTCGCAACCCAAGCACTGATGTACTGAGAGGGAGTCCAGGTCCTCCGATCAACGGCGGCGACGAACATGACGAGGATTCGAAAAGCGCGAATGGTGATTCAACAGCCCCAACATTGATAGCTGAAAATGGTGTGAGAGGGTCTGTAGCCGATGATTCAGTTGAAAAGCCGACACATACCGTGACACCAGAAGAAGCGAAGGGGGGTAGTGATGTTAGTCTCCCCTTTTCTGTAATCAATTTTCGTCTAACCATAATATAGGCCGAGACCACTGATGAGCAACTTTCTCGATTTAACAACAAGCGACTTTGTGAAAGATGGCTTGACAGCTTATTCATGGTTCTGTATGAAGATTTGCGCATATATACCATTTGGCGTACTGAGATGGCACAATATCGTGCACAATCTATGCAGTACAAAAAATCCGCCGAAGAGTGGGAAATCCTAGGCTCTCTAGCTGAACGTTTACACCATCAAGTGGAAGCCGTAGAAGCTTTCCGTGCTTGCCTCGCCATTCGGTTCTCGCCCAGAGCACTTGCTGGTATTCTGGCGGATTTCGAGAAGGACAAGAATACTAGGGACACGGTAGCGGGAGTCATCCGACTTGTCACCTGGCAGTATAGATGGTACTCGGAGTTCAGTCCCGAACTTCTATACGCCATCCGAACGTTGATTGAGGAGGAAGGTGCGGTCAAGGTTAGAAGTATCATCCAAGCTACCAGTCTACCACAGAATGTCCTCGACCTGACACATCACTACGCGGCGTTGTGTGCGGCGTTTCGAAGCAGTGGCACGGAGGGTTGATGAGGGAAGACTTGTTCGTAAATGATATCCGGGCTTGACCGGGACGGGTACGGGGCCGTCAAAAAACACATAACGAGAAACAAAAAATCCGAAACTTCTTTGCAAAGTTGTTGATATCCATGGAAGCGAGCAATTGTGCATGCATAGCGCGTATTTGGCGTGGGTGATGATCTCCAGGGGGGGCTCTTTTGTTGCATGTCATGGCTAGGGATGATGGGTTGAGAAGAGAAAAGGTAGGAGGAAGATGTGAGGAGGGGGTTTTCTGTATGATAGGTACTGAGATAGTGGACTTGCCAGGCTTGCATTACTGAAAGCTATCGATTTGAGATTTCTCTTACCCTTCTTCGTGTTTCTTGCTATGTTCTTTCGCGAGAGGTCAGCTCTTCGTTTCTTGATGCTGTAATGATTTCTTCTTTTTCTCCTTCTTGGGTAGGTAGTCTACCTACTCTCTTGGTTTCTCTTTTCTTTTCTAAGCACCCAATCAAGGACACCGTTAAGCGACGCGTTACACAGCGCCATTTTAGTGGATGCCGAACCCCTCATATTACAGATTGGGAAGCATCAGCATTGCTTCTAACACCATCCCCCCACAAACCTTTTGAAGCAATAGTGTAACTATCGATTCATGAAATATACCATGTCCCAAATGGTGCCAGATTTCTCAACCGTTCCCGCAGGAGCAATTGTTGCCCCGACACCGTTTACGGTAGACATCCCTGAAGCCGCTCTCGAGGAGCTGAAAACCTTGGTAGAACTCTCCAAACTTCCAAAAAAGACCTATGAAAATACAACGACGGAAAAATATCACGGCCTTACTCGTTCCTGGCTGGAAAATGCTAAATCATACTGGGCACATGAATTTGAATGGTAGGTGAACCTCATGCCGGAGTTGGTTTTGCAAAGCTGATGTCTTGAACATGAGACGCATATAAATTCTTTTCCTAATTACATTACGGATGTTGAAGCTGAAGGTCAAGAAGCACTCAAGATCCATTTCGTTGGCTTGTTTTCTGAGAACAGGGATGCGGTTCCGCTTGTGCTTATCCATGGTTGGCCTGGTAATGACAAGCATCCCCTTTATTCTAGTCAAGATACTGATCACAACTTCTAGGAAGTTTCTTGGAGTTCCTCCCCCTTTTGAAGCTTTTAAAGGAGGAATATAAGCCAGCTACACTGCCCTACCACGTGATTGTTCCATCACTCCCAGGCTTCGCATTTTCAGATGCTCCGCCTTTGAAGCGCGACTTTGATCTTTCAGATGCGGCCGCAATCATTGATAAACTGATGATTGATCTTGGTTTTGGTGGTGGGTATGTTGCTCAAGGAGGCGATGTCGGAAGCAAGATTTCTCGCATTTTAGGCTCCAAGTATTCTTCTTGCAAGGGTTCGTATTTTCGTTTTCTATATGTCGTATTATTTCTAATCGAGTTCTCAGCTGTTCATGTCAACTATTGCTATATGCCCGAGCCTGCTAAGCCACTTGGGAATGTAACAGCCACAGACCTGGAAGATCTCAAAAGAGCGAGAGAGTTTAAAGCAACAGGTAGTGCATATGCTCTAGAGCAGGGAACTCGTTCAAGCACGATTGGATTGGTACTCTCTAGTAGCCCTCTTGCTTTGTTAGCATGGTGATACATCAATTCATGTTTGTGGTGAACACTGAAAGGCTGACTAGAAAATGTAGGGTTGGCGAAAAGTTCCTGGAATGGAGTGACGAAAAACCAAGTCTGGATACGATCCTTGAATCAGTCACGTTGTATTGGCTAACCGACACTATATCTTCGTCATTCTACAATTATCGGCAGGTAAGTCTTTTATCTTTGCCTCTGGAAGGAGTCTGGAAGTTAGGCTTCGCTAATTCTGAAAAGACTTTCAATTCTACAAATCATGGTGCGCAATTTGTTGCGGAATATTACATCCGGAAACCATTTGGCTTTAGTTCCTTTGCAAAAGAAATCGCCCCCGTTCCTAAAGCTTGGGCTGCCACTAGTGGTGATTTGGTATTTTACAGGAGAAATGAGAGGGTAAGTATCTATCAATGTGAAGTCTATTGCTTGTAGCTTTTCTGATGTCGTGTTGCAATTCAGGGAGGCCATTTCGCTGCTAATAAAATGCCTGAAGTTTTATTGGAAGATATCAAGGATTTTGTCACCCAAGTTTGGACGGGTTGAAAGAGTGTGCGGGCTCTATTACTCGTACACTTTTACCAAAGGTTTTAGTTATGGCTTGCAGTTAGGGACATTGTGTTGATCGCATGCGGAAATAGACAAAGAAATTTTCATGTCATGACGCTGTGTGCTGGGTATAATTGGCCCATATAACTTTCTTTGTCTTTCAGATTACAAGTCGCCCATGTAACATCATTACTTCATTTACAGCACAACAGTTTCTGAGTACAATACGCCCTTACTTGAAAATTTGCTAATTACTGTACAACCACAACATGTCAGAAGGTCATCGAAGAAGTTCCCAATACAGCACGACACCCATCGTAGCTCGTCGTCGTAGCTCAACCGCCCGATACGGCAAGGAACCCGTGGACCTCTACCCATCACGACGCGCCTCTCAAATCGCTCTAAGACAGAAAGATATTCAGAGACGAGAGAACTTCAAACGATTGGCCAACGCGTTAAGTGCATTAGCTGTCGCTGCTGCTTTCTGGTTCTTTCTGCCACTATGGTTGCCAAAAAATCCACGTTTCCAAACGTACTCGTACTCGAGTGATAGCCCGTCTCTGAAGGATAGTCCTTTTGAGATTGATTATTTGCGCAGACGGTTGCCTACGATGGTTAATCAGGTTGCTAATATGAGTATGAGTGTTTCGAAGATAGCTCCTGGTGGTATGTTGCTTAATATTATTGGGGATCAGGTATGTTCCATGTCTTTGGTTCAAAATTCTTGTTTTGAACTTGTCAAATTCTATGATGTTTCTGGTTATTTATACCCCTAAAAATTACTTAACGATCTTGAAAATATAAACTGACAATAAACACTGTCTACAGGCCGATGAAGCAAGAATGCTAGCCAAGAAGAACCTCTTCAACACGAATATATTTGGAGAAGAAAACAACGATGATGCCGGAAGGATCTTTAGACAACTAACAGGTCAATACCGGGCAGCATTCGTCCACGCAAGAGCAGCGAACGACGACTTGGACAAATTCGGCACCATCTCAAAAGCCTTAGCGGAGGGAACCCTAAAAGGGTTAACCAACATCACAAAAGAACTGACTATAACATCCAAACTCCTCGATTCCCCCGATATCTACGCCGCATTACAGAACTTCTCCTCACGCGCAATCGAAAGCTTGAAAGACATCCAATCAGACCGCAACACTCTGACGGAGAAAATCAAACGCATCATCTCCTTCGGATACCTCGCAGATCTCGATAAGGATCTTGCCAAAATCGCTTCGTCGAAGGCGGAGTTACAACACTATGGAAATGACGCAAAGACATATCTATTGAACAAGAAGAAGACATATGATAAGTACAAGAAATCCTGCGACATGGCAGGAATCTTCTGCCGCAAGAATCCCGCTCCCAAGCTCGAACCCGCCGAAACGTGGCTTTTATGCGTGCTCTCTGGGGCAGAATGCGAGGTTATGGATGGGATTTCTTCCGACCTCACTAAACAGCGGAAATGCTTAGATGGGCTCCTCAATAAAGCGGCGGAGCAACTGACGGATATGAATGAGAAGTTGAAGAATGACTTGTTCTATGTTGAGTCTGGGAAGGAGGCTCAGAAGGGCTGGCCGACTTGGTATAGTGGGCTTAGTACTGCGCCGCTTGTTACTGGGGCGTTGAAGGATATTAAAGAGATGGCTGGGAGGTTTGAGAGGGATCTGAGGACTGCGCAAGGGAAAGTTAAGGAGGGTGAGAAGGTGAGGAATGTTGTGGAGGTTAGGTGTTGGAGGAATCGGGGGGTTTGTTTGTATGAGAATTTTGTTAGGGGGAAGGATTTGTTGGGGCTGTGAGGATTGGCAGGTTGTGATGGAGGGATGGGAAAATGGGAGATTGATTTTTTTGGATCTGGGAGGGCGATGTATGATATACCTCCGTTAGTGTTGGAAGAATGATTGGTAGTAAAATAACGGTATTTAACAATCTTTTCAGTGTTCTCATCTGGAAAATGAGGTCTAATCCACGAGCCCGAGACTGAAATCGCGCTACGATGTACACATTCTTACACTTTGTTGCAACGCTTTCCTCTAACCGTATAATTACAAATAATGTTTAACTTGGAGTTTTTACCCCTCAAACAGTCAAACTCAGGCAACAAACTTTACTATACCTAACGGGTTTTTCGGCTGTCAAGGTAGATCACCAGGGTAGACCACGGGAAACTCGCCAACTGCCATCCCACTAGCCTGTAAGTGGATTTTTATTCGCGATTGTAACCATGGGTAAATGAAGATCATTGGACAATCCCATGTTGAACTTTCATAACTCCTACTACTGGCGAGGCCATGTACTGTACTACGCAAGGTTATCTACACGTCGGCTCTCTGACTGAACTGGCCTAAATTCCGAAGGAAAATTGTATGAAGTGCTTGGAACAATCTACTTGAAATGATAGTTCCCAAAACTAATAAGCGAAATTATTATAAGCGATTCGGATGGAAAATCAAGGTTGATCTAGAAATGCAAGAAAGCGAGCTGGCTGTAAACTGTTCTGCCACTTTTACTGTGATGTCTTTCTGTCCACCACGTAATCTCACAGGGCTCGAGCTCGGCCATCTTGACTTTTGACTTTTGATATTTGGTTTGACAACGTCCAATAATATTGGGTACTGCTAACACGCGAACATAACATTGTTTATAACATCTTTCTCCTGTGTAGTTGTTTTCAAACGGGCTAGATTTCTATGGACATCCTACTCAAGCTCGTATAAAACAGCCAGTCGAACCAATATTCCGTCCGTGAACTCGTATAATTCAACCAGTCTCCAGCAGCAAATCAATCGAACTCAGGCACTTTTCAACAAGCATTTGCCAAGGGATTCCCCAACTGGGGAATTCTTTGCCAAAAAAGCTTATCAGGTCATACAGATCGTTGGGATCTCTTGACCGGCCTCCCCGGACGTTTTTGGGGCACCACACACAAGCAGCTCACGACCCGCTGCTAGAAGATAGGACAAACCCACTTTAGATATGCCGCGTGCAGATGGACAGAGCACAAGAATACAGTACAGAGATGACTTGTTACTTTCGTACTTTTAGGTTCTGGGGCCTTCCTTTTTTCTTCATCTTTTCTCGACACTGAATCCGTCGCCTCGAGATATCTATCTTCAAGATTGATACCAGTCACTTCGGCAATGGCCTCTGCTGTTGAAACGAAGGATGGTGTGATGTCATCCGAAGAAAAACACAATTCTCGTGATCTCGAATCTGGTACGCCGGAGTACGAAGGAAAAACCGAGACATTCTCCAACGATGAAGCCGTTCCCTCGTCCTCGAAGACTCGTGCGAAAGAACTACGGGAAAATACAGGGATCCTTAGTACACTATGTCGTGGGGAGGATTGGCTCGACGCCAAGATGGGCATTGAGACTCAAGGTGTGGATTTGATCCGAGAAGAGGATAAAAAGCCTCCTTCCATTCTGAATGTCTCCCTCTTGTGGTTCACATTGACATGCCATGTTGGAGCAATTCCTATTGGAATGCTTGGTCCAGAATGGGGACTGTCGCTTAAACAATCAATTGCTGGATCCGTCGTTGGAACTATACTTGGAGCCTTGTGTACTGGTTATTGCGGAACTCTTGGACCCAAGGTAAGAAGAACCACTTACTTAATTCAGCATCAAGTTTGATGTTGACTGCTATATAGCTAGGCCTCCGCGCGATTGCGACTTCTCGATACTCTTTCGGATTCTATGGTGCGAAATTATGCTCGATTTTGAATGTAGTTGTTGGAGCCGGGTTTGCGGTTGTCAACGTTGTTATAGTTGGTCAGATCCTCAGCGCCGTCTCGGACTATAAAATGACCATCGTTGTCGGATGTATTATCGTTTCGATTTTGAGCTACATAATCTCCATTTTTGGCTTCGCCGTCATCCACAGCTTGGAAAAATATGCATGGATCATGTCGTTCATCCTGCTTTGCATACTCATTGGACAATTTGGGAGCAAAGTCGATTCGTCCAGTCCAGGAACAGCTACCGGCCTTATATACTCCGGCTCGATGCTCAACTTCCTCGCATTGTGCTTCTCCAATGGGTCAGGGTGGTGTTCAGTGGCTTCCGACTATTACTGCAACTACCCGAAGAACACCGGCTCTTGGAAGATCTTCGCTCTGACTGTTGCTGGTGTTACCATCCCAACAGTATTCGCTGAGGTGATTGGATGCTGTCTCGGAAACATCGTTTTTGGCGGTGCAGAATCTAATGCCTACCTTGCAGCAGCATACGAAGAACATGGACTTGGAGGCCTTCTTCTAGAATCTTATCATCCTATAGGCTTCTCAAAGTTTTGCCTTGTCCTTTTGGTATTTACTGTCATAGGCAACAACGTTGCCGTCAACTATTCCTCTGGGTTATCTATCCAGCTTCTAGGGCATTATTTCCATGCCATCCCCCGATTCATCTGGTCCTTTCTCAACGCCCTTGTCATTGCCGTTCTGGCCATTGCTGGTCGCGAAAGCCTCTCGCTAATCGTCAGTAACTTCGTGTCCTTGCTAGGTTACTGGACCATCAGTTTCACACTGGTGCTGTTGATAGAGGATCAATGGTTTCGTCGACATATAGGCTACGAGTTGGAGATATGGGATCTCCCTGAAAAGCTTCCTTGGGGGGTTGCTGCTGTTTTTGCCCTTTTGGTTGGGTATTTGGCGGGTGGTGTTCCTGGTATGTCGCAAGTCTGGTATGTTGGACCGATAGCTGCGAAGTTTGGGGGCTTTGGAGGGGACGTGGGGATATACTTGAGTGGGGTTCTTACTCTTCTTGTGTATCCTCCTGCGCGATATCTAGAGATACAAGTGACGGGGAAATGATTGGAGAATGTATGGACAGAATAAACTTCTAAATATGATTGCGAATTAATATCGAAATTCCTTTACAGCTGCACATCGCTAGATGAAACCGGACATATATGATATCTAAGTCCGAGAGCTTCAAATCCCTTAGAGTGGCTACGAAGTATTGCAAAATGTTAGCACCACGATGGTACTTCTGCTACTTTCTAGTTTATCTTGAGGTTTCATCGCCCCATTAGCAGAGTGTTCCAAAGCCTTTTTTGTAATATCCATCCTCTGCCCAATATTTCATTTCTAGCGGACCAATCAAGACACAATATCTGGTCCCAACAAGAGCCACCACCATACTACAAAAATGCGACCCACCTCCACACCTCTTTGTGCAACAGAACAAAATTCAAACTCGTATCAGAGAGCCAATTATTCTATTACACTCCCTCACACATCCGTACAACGAACCAAGACCGAGAATCTTCCAGTGTAACCTTCAGCACGCCACATTGAAAGCACAAGGCGTGTTGTTGACCCCCAGTACCACCAAGCTAGACCATAAAGGGCTGAGTAATATTTTGTGGGTAGCACTGACTTCGACAGAACAGAACGATAGAATTGCATTAGTGTACACAGGCCACATTACAGTCTCCCCTACTAAGAAAATCTTCACATTCAAAATAAGCAGTGCGCCGAATGTCAACTGGAGGACTGAGTGATTTAGTGCCTGCCCCCTTGAGCTGTTTCGCGGCGAAACAGCTGGTTACCACTCACATCCGGCCAGGTTTGATACTATCTTTTCTCGTTATTCTTTTTTTACTCTTCTTTCTAGAAGCTATTTCATAGATATCTTTCAGAATTTGAAGGTGTTGAATCTGTTTTTTGTTTTAGTATATAGCATATAGCCTCGATTAAGATGAAAGACCAAGCATTGTGATGTTGTTTAAGCTGGCGCTATAGATTACGACAGTGATAGCTACAGAAGGCGTAGATTAAAGAAGGCTGGGTGTATGTCTTACTATACTCTGTTTGATACATTCATTCTTGAGAGAGAAAAACACACCATTTTGGGAAGGTTATTGACGAGGATTTTTCGTGTCTCTGATATCGATAGACACTTCTCAGCACAATCTAGAACCTCTCAAACACGATATCGTGGCACAAGAAGATTTCAACAGCGGTTGATGGAAACGTTCTATGATTTGCCTAAAGAAGTAACACACCCAAGCTGTTTAAAACACAAGCATGAGTCTCCCATTCGGATTTCTTAGTCCATAAAAACACAATGACAAAACATCGCTTCTTGAATTTACCAAACCCATTCATAACATGTCTACGATTCATATTTATTGTTCATAAGCATAATCTTCCATCTATGAACTTACGTCGTTACTGGCTATACTCATTATATATGTGCAAGATTGAAGACAACGAAGACAGCTCAGAAGAGTACGTGCGTGCGAAGGACTTGCTGAAGAACCTTGAGGTAGTAGTTCTGAGTATCGATAATATAATTTTACGGTATAGAAGAGGAAGGGAGGAATATAAGAGAGGAAGAAGACTGAGCTAGCAAGTTTACAACGGGAATTGGAATATGAAGGAACCGAAGATTCTTTGTTAGGATAGACTTTCTGACACTGTGAATTCAATGAATCCCCTAAAACCTAATAAGATCTACGAACTCTTTACACTGAACCGGCCAATTGCAAGCAGACTAGATAGAGTTAGTTTGAGATACATTACCCCTCAGTTGCATCTCCATGCACGGGTAAGTTCGGCATTAGCAACACCCTTTAACCTCATCAATAAAATAGACCGCACATCTCAATAAAACCCAACGCCCCATAAAATACGCCAACGCCCCAAAAAGCCATATACATCTACACTAAATCCGATCCTCTTGCACAACAACATTATCCTGTCTCAAGATCCTGCCGCCGGGAATCTTGACCGCAAAATTCCTCGTCATCTCGCGCTCGATACGAGTCGTAAGTTGGGAACTGGATTGGCCATAGATATCTCGATTCGGCATCTCGTAGCTCCATGTATTGGTCTCTGAGATCTCACCCCCCTTTTTCTGGGATCGTGTCGAGGTGAGGGAGATTCGGGATCGCATGCCGTCTTCTTCCATGTGGCCTTGGAGTAAGGGTGTCAGGGTTGAGAGGGAGGCGGCGATGATTCCTATTCCTGCTTCGACGTAGGACCAGACCATTATGTTTGTTTCTAGGTCTGTGGATTTGTTAGAGGATGGCTTTTATTCCCACGGTATTTTTTGGCTTACCGAAAGGGTTGCTACCCACGACATGAGCTGGGTTGATGTTAGTGGGGTTGGTCGATTGGGAATGGGGAACTTGCTGTAATAGCCATTGACGATGAAAGCGATGCGAGCACATGCTACTGCCACAGACCTAAAGTTTTACTCAGTATATAACTCAGTATGAAATTTGATCATAGCTTTTTTCACATACATATAACCGAGCATGAAAACTGCCATAATTCCAGTCTTCTGCGCTAGAGACATATGGAGTTTCCAAATCATCGGAACAGGAATGATGAGCACCAAAAGGCCGGTCACAACATCAGACACAGCATTACCGAGTTCAATGCTTCTTGTAGGGCCGCAATGTCCTGCAGGAGCATTGGGACCAGTCCAAAGATCAGCTAGATTAGGTCCGCATTGGAAAAGAGTTGCAAAGAATAACGCGGCACTTGACGCTACCACCAGTGCAATGGCCGAGAATGATATGACATCGAATATTTTGCCATGAAAGATTCGTCGAAATAGGAGTAACACGCTGAGCTTTACTGTCCCATAGACGATGGTTGACAGTACTTGAGAAATAAAGGCGAACTTCAATAACCAGTGAGAAATTGGAAACGAGAAAGCTGGTATATCATGTGGTATCTACTGACCTTGGAGCCCAGTATTTCGTTGTGAACAGACGATACACGGACACCTATAGTTACTTTGGCAGTCGCTATGATACAATTAACTGTATGTAAAGTGAGAGGAACAGATCACTGACCAACGATAAGAATGATAGCGAGAGCCCAAACAAATAGCTACATAGACGTTAGGTTTGCCACCTTCATGTCGTGCCTCTCGAGACTGCGCATCAACAGGGATCCTACCAGAGAAATGGAGATAAAAAGATCATCGAGTCCCAGATACGATCTTTTTATACTGCGAACCCTCAGTCGCAGACCGACCGTAGCGGTCGAAAAAACCAGCAAGACAATAGCAGCGACATAGCATCCAACTCGACCCGGAGAGTCACTCATCATCGACAGACCGCAGGATGGGGGAGGCGGGGCTCGACGTCGACGCGCGATTGACTATGGAATCATTGAAATGAGAAGAAAAGCATTTGGGCAGAGGCAGAGAAAAGACGAGCCCTCGTACAGTAGGATCAAGCTACGACGTTTGAGGTACCACCCTCACCCGCCTGCAGTGCAACCTACACACTGTAAGATATTTATGGATTCTGTCGCATGGCAAGTCGGTTGGTACAACCTGATTTGTCCGGGTAAGTGGGGTTTTTGATTTGCGGCTGAAGTCGTTACCTGTTTCTCCAATTTATCCATGCAGTCAGCAACCCAATTAGGCAACTGAGAGCTTGAAAACGGACGTCTGACCTTGTGCAAAAGATAAGCCTGCGTTCCGATTGGGTTTGCACCAACATCGTGAGCCGTTGGCACGCAAAGAATCTTCTGGATTCCTAGTGGTGGAATCGGTGGAGTCGATGCAAGAGAATGGGGAACTGCTGGCTGTGTGGCTGAAACATTTGTGGCTGCAAGGGAGAACCCCCACCCCTTGAGGCAATCTAAGATATCGATTCCATAAAACAAAAGTCCATTATTTTGGGTTACTCGTACTCGAGTATGGCAAAATATTCCAGTTCCGAGGAACAAGTGGAGGAACGTGGTCTGTTTACAAATGCGAGGGACTTCTTCGCTTGGAAGCGAGGATCCAGACCTGGGCTCAGGAGATTCACGTTAGATTCACAGTATTCGACTAGACCAGTTCAATAAAAAACCACTGACAGAAACTGGTTATCCAACATTGAAAAGAATTTCTTCTTTTCACGATATCGACACATCAAGAATCTAGAGCAAGTCTGTATATGGTTCCTTGCATATATCTTTTAGTAAGCCAGAATAAGCAGAGCTGTTCCACTCTCAGCTTTTGCCAAACACACCCTTTGGAGTATTCGAGCAGAAGATATTCCTGTACTACCACTCTTACATCATGAGGAGATATTCCGAACAGCCAATGCAATCTCGGTTCCATTGGTCCCGCGAATAACACGTCCAACATACACTTTCTTCCTCATCCATCTCAGCCCAGCATAGTTATACAGAGTCTTCAAGGGAAGGAAGGATACAAGCCGGCAATGGATCTCAAATACACGTCACATCCTTTCAATGTTGAGACCCTATGAAAGAATCACGCCATCTCAAGAGCAGTTTTCAGGAAGAAAATCCCTAGCTAATTCAGCCAAATAGCATTGGGGCCATTCAGTGCTATTGGGAGACCATACGAACAATTTGGAATAATTGCCTCTTATATGTCTTTGTGAACCTAGGTGTCTGAAGGTAAGCAGGTCTATTGTATTCCAGATGGTGTGTACAAATTGACAACCACGACTCTATTTCGAGGGGCTATGGGGGAATTTGATAACAAACAAGCATTTAACTGGTATGTCTCAAGACACGAAAAACATATATGCTGTCATCACTCTACTTTCCTTTCGATAAGTCCTGACCTGGGGTTCTAGAAAACTTCAATTAGAAGAGAAAGGTGTTGGTGTCGTCTCATCGTTTTCTCTTCCCTTAATCCGACGACGAAGACTCTCCAAACATCATCGTGGCCTAGCTATACCAAAGGGACCGAAAACTTCCGATGCAAAGGCAAAAAAACACAAGTTGATTGAGAAAGATGGTCTAATGGTCTTCACGATAGAACTCTAGGGAAGCGTTAATTCAACCTTGAAGGTCGCAGGTGGTTGAGGTCCGTCACGTGAGGCAAACATAGAATCTAGAAGGAAGGAACGACCCTCTGTCTTTCCTACTTCAGGCCAATTCTTCCAACTTTCTTTCAAATCTTCTTCAAACGCGTCTTCCTTCGTGACTTCAGCAGACGCGTCAACATTGTGACATCTTCACCCTTCCCCTCTTCAAGTTCGCGTCCATCCTCTATCAATCACATCCTGGGCATCAAAATCTCACCTTCTACCATACACTCGAGGTACTTATCCACCATCAACTTGAATCTGTGGAGTGCGCGCAGAGAAAACGCGTCAAATCCACAGCTGCAATATCCTACCTCCGCCTTTCGAAACTCTCAGAGACAGTGTAGGTGTAAGTATCTTCATGAATCCATATGCACGAAACTTTCTGACTGTGTCCAGCGTACATTTTTTAAGTCAAAAGCCAACTTTGGGTCATCAGCCTCGACTCCTCTGCGATCACCAAATTTCGACCGCCCTTCAACATGCCTCAAACTCGGGCACAGGCCAAGAAGGAGGCTGTCGTTTCAAGTGCCTCTCCGATCTTCACATCTTTTCCAACCTTCCAATAGAGATCCGTTTTCAGATTTGGGACCTTGCATGTCAAGAGTAGAGGGTGATTGGTTTGTGGGGAAAATACGTCAATCCAGCCTGGGCATATCTGGAGAGTAAGAATATACAAAAGGAGCATGCCTTGTTTCCAGGAAAGCTTCAAGTCCAGCGCTTCAACCCCCCTTCCGTTCTTCACGTTTCAAGAGAAGCTCGTGAGATTGGTCTGAAGCACTACACACTAGCATTCGGAACTGCTGAGGGTTCAGAATATCAGGTGAACGAGAAAGGTATCCACGAACCCTTTATTTACGTGAACTGGAAGGTCGACATCTTTTTCCCTACCTCAGACGATGCGGCATCCGGATTTGTCACCAAAACTAAACCTGCACGCTATCGTGTGGCAATTGATGAAGTCGGTGCTCTTAAGTTTGACCCGGTCCTATGGGGGAAAGGGAGAGGCCATGAGTACCGATATCTAGAAGAGGTCATTGTAGTTGTCCCAATGGGAAACTTGACTTTTCCCTCGATTCTCCGGAGACTCCAGTTCTCGCGTCCCATCAACTTTGATATTCAGACACCTTCAGAATCACAATTACAGCAAATTCTTTGCGACTGCGCGTTTGAGGAACTTGAAAATACCCTGGACCTCACACAGACGAACGTCAGGCATGCACTAGAATGGGATGACACCATTGAAGAAACCATTGACGAAAACAAAAACGTGAACCCCGAAGCTTGGGAAGCAGCTTACGACGCAATTTTCGACGCACTTTACGCTAAACTGCCCAAGATAACGCCGGGTTTGATTGAGGTCAATTAGTAGCCATAAAACGCTGGGGCGGAAGAAGATTATTATGGAGGTTTCGCTTCCCAGGGAGATCTTTCATCATCGTGTTGTAGGACGAAATGTTTGGTTGCAAGTTTGCAGGTAGCCATGACGGGCTGAGGGTATCGCCGGACGACCCAATGTGGGACTTCATTTGATAGCCTTGAGAGGCTGCATAGAACTTTCGATTTTGCTGTACTTTCTTTTACACCAGAAATGTCTTACCTCTTTTAGGTCTTGACAGACTACTACATGCATTGAAACACATTTTCATAGCATAGCTCTTATTTATATGGAATTCATCATCAAGCAACCAATTAATCCGCACATACTGTGAATAAGTTGCTATAGAGGATCCTGACAAGCCTTATGATTATAATTACTCCCCAATCATTATTCTAATCTCCCAGTGCTTTTCGTTAACAGTTTTGATTCCTCTTCTCCGCTAACCCAAACTCATTTACTTTGTCCTTTCGCAACTCCACGTGGTCTTCAGCGAAGACACAAACAAAGCCCAAGCAAGCGAAAGCCGCAACTGCGATCCAAACAATTCGAAGAGCTCTCACATAAACGTCAACAACCTGAACCTTAATCACAGTAGGAAGTAAATTAAAAGTCCCACTATTCGCAAATGCGTATGCCTGCCCATTAGACATCAATCCACGCACCGATTCATCCTCTAAAATCCACAAATACCTATCAATCTGGCTATTAAAAATAACCGAAGCAACAGTCAACCCCCACACAAAGTTAAAAGACCGAACAAACGAGTATGTTCCAGTGGCAACCGCAACATCTTCCTCCGGCAACGGGGCAAGTGTCGATATCAACGTAGATGCAAAAATCAGACCTGAGCCGCCAGAAGCAAGGATTTGGAACCCGATCCAAGACCCGGCGCTGGGGGATGCGTCTAGGGTTGACAGCAATCTCGTTCCGATAGCACTCAATGCAAATCCGGCGTAATGCAGTGGGGTGTATTTGCCGGTATTTGTTACGAATGCGGCTCCTAGGCCGCCGAAGGGGATGATGGCTAGCGCGAAGGGGAGGTAGTAAACACCTGAGTTGAGAGGCGAGACGCCCCTTACGGCTTGGAAGTAGATAGGGAGGAAGTAGTTTGTTGCTGTGATGATGGTGGAGCTGATGAAGATGGAGAGGAGGCTGATTGCTGATGTGCGATGCTTGAAGATCCTTGGAGGCATGGTTGGTTGTTTACACCACCGAGGCGAGGATTCGTAGATATGGAAACCCGCCCATTCTAAGCAACCGAGAATCAATGGGACGATGACATGCCACGATCCCCAAGCGTATTGAGAGCCGCCCATGACGAGTGCTGGGAGTATGGATATGATACTTGGGATGCAAATACCATTTCCTACGATGTCCACCTCGGCTAGCGCATGTTTCCAGTCCGGCGTAGGCGGGTATTTAATCCGTAGACAAAGCAGGATAATAACAAGCGCAAGTGCAGATACAGGAAGATTGATCCAAAACACCCACCGCCAGTCCTTCTGCGCCAACGCGCCTCCAATAATCGGTTCAATTGTCGAACCGACGGCAGCTATGGAGAGCACACTACTCAAGTAAGGACTTCGGTATCGCGGAGGAATGACGTCACAGAGAACAATGTCAGCTAGGACGTATAAGCCACTAGTTCCCAGTCCTTGGAGCGTTCTTCCTGTAATCAATGTTGCGGTATTCTTTGCACCTCCCGCTATCCCGCTACCTAATGCAAAGAGGAATAGAGCGAAAAGTATGGGGCTGCGACGACCGAAGATGTTTGATACCTGGGCGAAAAGAGGTTGTGTCGCTGTGGATGCGAATAAGAACCCATTTATAACCCCTAGTTCGTTGTATTAGCTTTATCAATCATGATTTAAAGGGGGGATTGAAAGCCTACAGATGTATTTCTCTCCTCCGCCGATTTCTCGGGCTATTTTTGGTAGTGATGTTGTCACGATGGTGCCGTCGATTGAGGACATGAAGGCTAGGAGTAGGAGAGCGCAGAATACGGCTGTTATGTCCCATGTGTGCTTGAAGGTTTCTCCTTGCTCCAGGTTGTCACTTGTCTCAACGTTTTGTCCATTGACTGGAGCCTGGACGGTCTTCTGTTGTTCTGGGATTGAGGATTTAGGACCATCCTGTACATGAGCTAGATCCGCCATTTTGCCACCTTGTTTAGTTTTTTTCTATTCTGAGAATATGAAATAACCATGAATTTTGAGGGACGTGCCGAAGCCGCAGCCATGTGAAGTACCAACCTGTTGGTGTGTTGGTAGAAATATTGGCGGTACGTCAGTAATAAGATAACCCTGTCACGATGTCAACTCTCCTTCTCCAACACTTTCCTGGACGAGTTTAGAAGCCAAAAGATTACTGTTTGATATTTTTGTTCGCGCTGCAAGAATTTTGTGGGGATGATTATTCGAACAAATATCGACTCCTAGAGTTCGTTCCCTAAGGCCTCATCGGTCCATATCCAGTCTAGACTACAGTCAGGTATAGAAAATTTAGCTATTTCAATACCATATTGTGGTATTCCAATCTCAAAGTCAATCACTCGCTTACGTTAAAAGAATTCCCCTGTATCTCCCTCGCTTAGCTTCCACATAAGAACACACTCACTACTCAGAATGACCATGTCGCGTGAATCAAACAAATTCACAACAATTAATGCAGCCATTACTAAACGAGCACCTGATTAAAGCCAAAAAGAATAAAACTAACTTAGATCTCGCTTAACAGCACAATCACGAAAACATCCCGTATTTACGAACACCTTACATCTCCCCTCAACAATCCAACCAACCCACTCCTTCTAACCCTACCCCCTCCAAACCACCCCAACAACCCTTCCCTGCCTCCCAGTACTAGGATCTCCACCCCACCCGCCATCCCACTGCTCCCCGACACTGTGCCTTAAATCCTCCCTAATCCCCTCATCCCTCTTCTCCTCCACATAGCTCTTCCATCCCTCCTCTCTCCTCCTTCTCGACAGTCTCCGTCCTTCCAATTTCTTCTTTTCGACAGCATCTAAGTTGGGTGCATTCTGCAAACTAACGATTGCGCCGTGAGTTTGTTGTAGAAGCAACAGGTCTGCTTGTTCTTCGCGCTTGGTTTGAGAATGTGGTTGGTGGTGGTGTTTGATGTGGGTTTGCGCGTAGGCTGTGGTGGGTGTGAGGAGGAGAAGGGGGAGGAGGGGGAGGAGGGGATACATTGTTTCTAGATTTCGTTTGTTTGGGTAGTATTTACTTTTGGTTTTTTTTAGGGGGTGGTTGGAAGGGGGTGAGAGATATGATTTGATTTCAGGGGGTTTATAAGGGATGTGTTACATGGCAGAAAGGGGGTGTGATTATTCTGCTGTTACTGATACTGTGAATGGAGTGATTGCTATGACATTAAATCGCAATGTGATGGATTATCACGTGGAATGGCCTCAATGAATGGTCAAGAAAGGTATCTTTCAAGTAAAGGATTAATAGAGTAGAGTCCGCTCGGCTGGGAGATAGACTTGCTCTACGTGTCGCGTTTAAAAACTCCACTCCTCAAAATGATCATAAATGCTTTTGAAAAAAATCTCCTTACCTTTGTTACCCCTGTTCACGTAACAGAATTACGAATTCTAACATTGTGCGCTTCAAAGTTTAATGATGCCAACTTGCCTGGGTACTGGGCATTGACTTTTGTCGTGCCGTACTCAACTTTGGTAGAGAAGAACGAACAGAAGTTGATACGCAACTACAGGCTTTAAATAGTAGGGAACTAATTAATGTGTAACCAATGCATAGAGTCGAAGATGGAAATACCGAAGCGAGATCAGTAAATAAAGTATAGTTCTGGAAGAATGAGCTCCACGCTGTTGGAAATGACAGATTTGGGAAGCGAAGAAAGTGAGAGACAATAGATGAACAATACCAAATATCGTCAAGGGAGACGTAAGGAAAGATGTCTGCATAGGACGCATATTGAATCATCAGTCGCTCAAGTCAGATAAAGTGGACTAGCACTAGAAATCAACATCTCCGGGGGTATATGTCTAGTCTTGGGAGTGGTCAAACCAGCAGATGAGATATTGAGAGAATATTAAACCTATCCAAAATCATTACCTCGAAAAGGGTGGGAAGTTAAGTTTTTACGGCTCGCGATATCTGCTGAATTTGAGAAAATTACCACTGAAGACGAGGATAGAGAAAGGGGAGAAGATGTACGGGAGGAAAGCGAGGACGAGGAAAGGGGAAATCTGAAGAAGAGAGCCAAGAAGCAATCGAGACAAGCCATATCAAAGGCGAAAAAGAGGAAGGCGACTAGAAAGAAGAAAGCTAATAAGTTAAAACTAAGCGAATTTTACCTCTATGCGCTAACGGCTTCCCCAAGCTTCTAATCTCTATTTATAGACTAAGAATATGAGTAGAAAATCTAATACAGTCAGACACTTATTAAGAGAGTTTGAACTAAGTTCCTGGGTCTTTTTTCGACCTTGTTGTCGTTGGCTCTATATAGAGAACCGAGGTGCATCTAGCTAAATCACGTGTGGTGTTATATGCACACCCCACGCGAAAAGATCTATCAATCCAAGTGGTACACCATCAGCTGCACGTCAGAATATCGGCTGTTAGCCTTGTTGGCTCATAACCACTGCTGAGAAATCCAAAGGAAGGGCATATCTCACTGTTGTGACACATTTCTATATGTATCAATACCTCTCTCGTCCACTCTGACTTTTCCTGAATTTCACTCGCCAGTAGCCCGCTACATCACAATGAGTAAAGCAAAGACAGTATGTATCATAGGTGAGCATCTCAACCAACATCTGGGAACACTTGTCTAATTCTTCAGGGGCCGGACCATCCGGTATCGTCGCTGCCAAAACCTTAGTACACGACCACCCCAAGAACACCTTTCACGTGACCATCTTCGAGGCTCTGGATCGAATCGGAGGCTTATGGCCAGTTTCTGAGAAAGACGACGGGATAGTCAATCCTGATATGTGTACAAACCAAAGTCGACATACTGTCAGCTTTAGTGGGCTGGCATGGCCGGAATCAACGCCCTCCTTTCCGAAGGCTTGGCAGGTTGGGCAATATCTTGAACGATATATTGAGAAGTATCCTGGTTATGAGATTCGCAAGAATACCAGGGTTGTCAAAGCGGATTTGAGGGATGGGAAATGGACTGTTCAAACACGAAAGGGGACCAAAGAAAGCTCTGAGGTGGTGGACCAAACGCATGAGTTTGATCATTTGATTGTGGGCACGGGATTCTTTGGGAAAGCAAAAATACCCAAAATTCTTGAAGGCTTTGCGAAACCTGTGGTTCATAGCTCCGAAGTTCGAGATATAAAGGATATACTCGTGAAGAGTAGTGGGTCTTCAAGCTCATCCGGAAAACGGATTGTGGTGGTCGGTGGACAAATGTCCGGAGTTGAAATCGCGGCTGCAATCGCGTCCCAATTATCTTCTGCTGAGAACTCTCCTGAAGAAAGCTCCATTCCAAATATCTCGGAGTACACCATTACCCATGTAGTTCAAAATCCTCTTTGGATCATGCCTCTTTTCTTTCCTAAAGACCCGGTCGTCGACGTTGCAGGCTCGCAAGAGAAGGTTTGAAGCTTTCCTTTTGTCGAGAACCACTGAGAATTCTAACTTGTATCAGGCGCAAAACTCATCTCCTGATTTCTTGCCCGTAGATCTTGTTGCATACAACTTAGGATGGAAGCCTCCCGGTCCTTTGCAAAACACATCCGGTCACATCTCAGTAGAAGCAGCAAACTTGACACATACTTTCATGAACACCTACATCGGCAGTGATCAAAGCGAATACTCGGAACATCTTGCCATGATTGGAGAAGTTCGTGATTTCACACCATACGTGACAGTCAGTGACAGCTACCACGAATTCGTCCGGTCTGGCAAGATCAACACCTCTAAAGGAAAAGTTCTAGGTGCAGGCAAAGAGGCCCCAGAAGGTCTTCTTCTCCAAGACGGCGAGAATCAGAGTCAAATAGATGACGTGGCTGCCGTAGTCTTAGCTACAGGTTTCGACGCATCTCCCTCTCTCGATTTCTTCTCACCAGAACCTCTTCAGCATTTACAATTCGGCCCTACCAGTGATGCATTTCCACTTGCACTCAACATCCACTCCACAATCAACAAGGCATTTCCTTCACTCGGGTTCGTAGGTTTTTACCGTAGTCCCTACTGGGGCGTAATAGAAATGCAAGCTCGCTACCTCTCTGCCCTGTGGACCGGCGATTCAAAAGCCTCAGAAGCACTAGCCTCAGACACAACCCTAGAGTCCATGCTTGCGCTGCGAACTGATCCTCGCAGAGCACAATTCCCAATGGGAGATTACGCCTACCTCATGGAATCATTCAGCGAAATCCTCTCCATACCACGTACCGAGCCTTCCGATTCAACAGGACGAACGGGACTCGTCCTCCCAGCACGATACGTCTCCCCCACCGCCTCAGAAACAGAGAAGCACGAAGCATCCACCGCCCTCTCCATCATCGACAAACTAGTCACCGACTCCACCACTGCAGGGAAATTCGTCGCCCGAGCTGCATTCCGCGCCATGCAAGGCGACTGGAAACTTACCCGAAAAATCACCAGTCGCATCGCTTCCTACCCCTCTGGCACCCTCACAGGAAACGCATACTTAAAGCCCCGCGCCCCCACGGACAAAGACGCCGATATGGAGTACCTCTACCTCGAAACCGGGTCCTTCGCCGCAGACAACGGGCTGACCTTCACCGCAAAAAGGAGTTATGTGCATCGCTACACGGAGTCTACAGATACTTTATCCGTCTGGTTCACGAAGGCGGATCACAGGACTGTAGATTACTTTTTTCATTCCTTGCAATTTGTTGCTGGTTCTGGGTCTGAGAGTAGCAAGACGGGGAAGGAACCCTGGAAGGCGAATTCGAGTCATCTTTGTATTAAGGATTTGTATGATGTTGAGTATGAATTCTTTTTTTCGGGGGCGGGATTGAGGGAGTGGTCTATGGAGTATACTGTTAGGGGTCCCGCGAAGGATTATACAATCAGGAGTGTGTATCGTCGGTGAATGAGAGGGTATGAGTTCTGGATGTTTGAATGGAGGGGGCTTAGATGGGAGACGTTAGAAGGAGAAATTATCTTGGTAGATGAAAGACTTGTGATTGTTGGATGATATGAAAATCATATTCCCGTATCCTATGTCACAACGATACGTCTTTAAATAATACCTAGTGAACAGAATCTAGGTAAAACCAAACCTACAGCATTAACCAAAGTGCGTTACCTGTCACCATTACAAGAATCTCTTCTTAATATTCCACACCATAAAAATATAATGGACGTAATTGTTACTCTCTACACATCTAGCTTATTATAAAACATACCATTACCCCAAAATTCTCGTATAACTAAGTTTCTTAAATATATACCTCAGAATAATTAACACTTTTTACATTATATTTACCTACGTATACGAAGAAGATTAATTTTCTTAGACTAGACTTCTGGCATAATCTTTTCTTTTAAGTTATTTAGAGTATTAACCAGGTTTCTTAGATAAATTAACCTCCCTGCTTCGCTAACGTATTCTTTTAGGATAAAAGCCCTCTTCTTCCTTCCTTCCTTTCTTTTATCTTCTTCAACTCAGAAGTCGAATGGAACCTGGCTCACAATATTGTACCACCCATGCCACATCACATATTCGACAGGTGCTTCGAGCATGGTGCTTGGAAGAAGGCTACTAGACGCAGCCGGGGGGTCTTACTCCTTCTAGCATTCTTAACCGTCTCCTCTCCGTCCTTCCTCCTGGATCACAACATTGTCCCACCCATGTCATACAACATATACGACAGATGCTTGAAAGAAGGCTGCCAGGTCACAAGAAATCAATGATGACGTAGAGAAATTAGGAATACGAGTTGCAAATAAGTATCACGTAGTGGCGTTATGCGAATTTTAAGGGAAGAGTTGAGGAGTTTAAAGGAAGATTAGAGGAGAAGAGATCGAGAAATACGGTACAGTAGTTGAAATGTTAGCCCGTGTACCGTCTTTGACTTCATCTTTCAGTAACCCGAGCTGAGAACATCAAGTTAACCTTCAGAAGCACTCACCTTTCTGAGGTGAAGGCGTTCACTTTATCTTTGATGAGAGCTTCTTACCTCGTCTCGCTTTCCTAACCGCGTCTTCCTCATAATCCTCTAAGAAACATCAAGGAAAGGGCGGCAAATGAAATCCAGCAACTCTTCGGTTAAGCTCTGGATATGCACCTTGCTCGCGCTTATCTTATTCTTAGCTGGGTACACTCTATCTATACATAAGACCTGAAAGAATGAGATAACATAATTAACTACTACTTTACTTGTAAAATATATTATCCCACCTGATGTAAAGTAAGATTACTATACCAGTCAGTGATAGTATAGATAAATTAAATATAATTCGCTTAAATGCGATAAGGAGTAGGAGTTTTACGTTTGGGAATAGCTTCTAATGGACAGAGCGTTTGTTTACTATATATTCTAGCTAGCCTACTTAGTATCGCTTCGCTCCTTGCGATTAATCTCAACTCTATTCTAGAACCGTGCTTATACGCTCCTAGTAATACCCTGACAGTATCTAAGAATCTCCTAGCGCCGGAATTAAAAACATTGTTTTTACAGTGTTACCGTCTACCCCTAACCAGGGTATAAAAATACCTTCCTTGATAACTACACAATTTCTCCCATATAATAACTGCCAGCCTCCTTTCCCAAGCCCAAAGCGACTCACACGCCTTCTTTCGCGTACGTAATACAAAAGCACGAGAAATATCTCAACCACCTACCAAGACCTCCTAGCAAAATAATAATCTACCCCCCATCTACATTATTTATATCAAGCTTTTAGTTTCTTAGCAAAGGGACTATATAGGTACATTAACAAACTACTCATTACAATAGTTTTATTCGTTATCCCCACGTAATAAGATCGCTATTGGATTTAAGACTTCTCGTACCATACCTAAAGGAACGCCCGCAATATATGTAGTACGGATGCTCCGGTATGTAATTCTCCCGGGGCAGAGCAGAGTGAAAATCATGTGAGAGTCCTTGGCGTAGACAAAAGGGTGTTGAATGGCAATGGGAATTGGGCATGTCTTGATGGGTCTTCTTAAGTGGTAGAAGGCCTACTGGTGAATGAAAATGGATAGCTTGGATGTGTGGAAATCTCATGACAACTATTCTCATCGCTGGTTTATTACGTATATTGTTTTTTTGGGGGGTGAGAGGGGGGGGGGAGGTGCACCTTTGTTATTTGTAGATGTAAAGAATAAAATGAATGTGTTGTTCGAATTGTAGGATGTGGGATGAGGTAAGAGGTGTGGCTAGTACCTTTGGCAGGAGAGTGTTTATATCACTTGAGACCTTGCTGGAAATCTGGAATATACGAGATTCCAAGAACAAATCAAATTGATTCCCATAAGGTACCCTACCCATCCAAGACCAACCCATCATCCACAAAATTAAAAGCCGCACAAAACAGCTTCATAACAAGCTCACCACACCACACCTTCAAACCCCTCACTCTCCCCTTCCAGTATTATCTCCTTCCAGAACCCCAACTTCACAACCCCCACTCCTCCTCACCTCAATCCTCGGAACCCTCCACTCCGGATACCGTCTTTTTACACTCTCAAGCCTCTCCCTCATAACCCCAAAAGACAAACTCACATCACCATCCTCCTCATCATCCAAAAATATCGTCACAAGCCTCAACCCCCCAAACTGCCTCACCTCATCAAACACAAAAAAGCTCCTCCCATAATCCTCCTCCCGCTCATCCATCTTCAGCCGCTGAATCTTGCCCACCACGTCATCACCCTGATAATCTCCTCCCAGTAAGATATCCAGAAGCGGGTAGTCGACGCGGTGAGCGGACGTGCCGTTGCCTAGGACGAAGGTGTCGAGGGGGAGGTTCATGTAGATGTGAGGTAGCGCGGGAGTCAGGTACTTCAGGCCGACCTCCCGGGCTTCACGGTTGATGTGCAGGATTTGGGGGATGGGTGTGGGGCTTTTCCAGGTGGTGAGGGGGATCCGTGAGGATTGGCTGCGAGAGAATTCATATTTGATTATCACATCGCGGGGACCTGGGAGGATGAAGTGCCAGATTTTGAGACGGAGTTCGGTGGGGAGGGTGGGGAAGAGGGTGAAGGTTCTTGGGGACTTCTCAACTTTGGGGGTTGAGGAGTCCATTTTGGGATTCTTTGATGAGAGTTGATTGTATGTTGTGAGAATCAATCTATTGTTGATACCTAAATAAATAGTCGTCTTTGGTTGCCTCGATTGCCTATTTAGGACGCCGAACCTAGAACAGTAGCTGTTAGAGGTCAGCCGAAGTCGGACCCACTTTATCACGTGCAGACCCTCAACCTCTCGTTTGATATCAGGATATCAAGACATCAACTAGAGACCAGACATAAGCAGAAAAAGTATCGAAGACACAAGAACGCGAGATTGTTGATCACTAGACCGTGTTCCTACCATACATAAACCCAACTACCACCGTAAGCCCAAGACTCCATTCGCCACCAATTTTCCCGTGACACTCCTCAGTATGGATCCACACAGTATTCTAACCCTATTCACAGGCCCTTCCATAAGACGTACCAGAACACCAAATGAAGCCATGTCCTTAGTTCCTGGTTGGCCATCCACGGTACCTCTACCCACACAGACTTTACCAGATGCACCCGCCTCACCAACCACCATAGAGCTCTTGAATGAGTTGCCATTTAATAAACTCCCTTCCGTATCCAGCCACACAAAAACATTCACCTGTTTCCCCAATTTACCACTGGAAGTCCGTCTCGCGATTTGTATGTCTATTTTCCCTATCCGTTGCCATATTTCATTCAGTCCATTCAGTATTCTTCCAGCACAGAAATCAACCCTTATTTATCCCTCCAAACCCCATCTCACCCCGAGGAAAACATTGAAAAAAAAGAATCACAAGAAAGAATAAACATAATAAAAGCATCTCCTAACACCCAACAGGGAAACTCACCTTCCCACCCCGCATCCTAGAAATAACCCACCGCTCAACCTTCGGCTTCTACACCCACACCCCCATGCCCCCCTCTCCTCCCACAGCAACCGCGAATCCCTCANACCTTCCCACCCCGCATCCTAGAAATAACCCACCGCTCAACCTTCGGCTTCTACACCCACACCCCCATGCCCCCCTCTCCTCCCACAGCAACCGCGAATCCCTCACCCTCTCGCAGACCCTCTACCCCCTCTCCTTTGGCTCCTGCATGCACGACCCACACACACGCATCAACTTCACCATCGACACGCTCTACCTCCCGGTGCCAGTCTCGCAATACCTCGAGCACTTCATCGACGTCCTCAGCGCGCGCGAGGCCGCCGCGCTGCGGTACCTTGCCATCGACTCCCGGGCGCTGGAATGCGAGATCGTCAACATGGCGGCGTGCATGCGGCGGGTGCTGCGAGCGTTGAAGGGGTTGGAGAGCTTGTTCGTCGTGTATGAATTACCCGAGATGGGACGGAGTCGGGATTGTTTCGAGGCGGCGTGTTTGAGATTCGTTCCGCATGTGCCTTTTGAGATTATTGGGTCCCCGCGGATTCGCGATTTGACGCGCGAGTTTGCTCGGAATGAATGGGAGGGTTTGGATCGACCTTCTCCATCGGCTTTGGCTACTGCTTCTCCCTCGGCTCCTACAGGTCTACAGACAGATCAGAACGCGGATATGTCCTCACCCCCGAACCCCCTTCAACCTCCCCCACGGATAGAGTATCACGAGTGGTACCCGTCTACGGCTGGCGCGACCGTCACTGCTCGAATCGCGAATCCGACTCGGACTGGCGACTCGGACTGGTCCGAGCGAGGCCGCTGGACCGACAACAACTGGACCGACTCCGAGGACGACGAGGATGAGGAGGATAACGGGCTGGGTGATTGGGAAACGTATGACCCGTATGGGTACGGGGATGCAGAATCCGACCATCACGATGAGTCTGATTCGTATGGCCCGTTTGGGATGGATGTCGTGGGTTATGCTGCGGCGCTGATGATGGGGCATGAGATGCTGGATGGGATTTATACTGATGATGATGATGATGATGATGATGATGATGAGGATGAGTATGGGGAGATGGGTGATAGTAAGGCGAGCGAGGATGACGACGACGACGACCTTCCTGATGTAATTCCTGTTGACGAGTTATAGATCCCTCTTTGCTGTAGAGATATCGAAGATGGCCGCCCAGGGGCGAACGTTGTGGGGTCTTGACTCGCTTAACATCCAGGGGCTATTCCGGGGCTATTCCAGGGCTATTTGTATAAAAGATTGTAGAGCTATCATTTAACTTTATAAAAGCCATCTATATACTAACAACCATTTACACATCAATAACCTCCATATCTATACCAAAAAAATCCCTCAAAACGAAAACAAACAACCCCCCCTCGCTCCCTTTCCACTCCCTCTCTACAAAAAACAACCCATCCCCCGACCCCCCTTTCAGTATCCTACAAGACAACCCCCAATCCACTAGCTACCTAACATCCGTCTACAACCTAAAAAAGGTCATCGAGACATCTATCTCGAAAAGCACGTACAGTAGGTATTTATATCCTTCAATTCGTCCCGTCCGCTTATTTATATACCCACCCTCTCAGCGCAGACCGAGTAAGCTTAAGAGTACTAGTACTAGTACGAGTACTCTGGCGCCTAGATTCCGGCACACTCCATACTCCGAACTACTTACTCAAGTAGTGTACTAGTGCTTAGAGTCACTTGGGTAAAGTGGAGTGCATGAGTGCGAGTAGGTCTAAAAAAAGGATCCAGAGGGAGTTAAGTTAAGTACATCCTCCTCACCTTCACTTCACTTAACTTACCTCAACTCATTTCACATGCTGATTCCATCACATACACCAACACAAACACAAACGAACACAAGTGAACACATAAGACCATCTATTCATCCATTCATTCACCCTTAAAAAAAGGGGGGGGGGGAGAAGCTATAACCTACACTCTAACTTGAACTACTGTACCATGAATGACACCCATCATCCCATGCCACACACCACAAAGGAACCCCACATCATCCCTCTCACTCACCCAACTCAATTCAACTCCCACAAAAAAGAACCCAATAAACACATCGACTTTTCCTAAAAAAAAAAAAACAGTATTCTTAACATACTACACCCCCATCCCAGCAAGAAGGTTCCCATCCCAATGAAACAATCCCAGAGAAGGATGTTAGACGTCATATTTAAGAAGCAAAAAAAGAAAGAAGAAAGCTAGAAGAAGCAGAAAAGAGAAAGAGAAAAGAAAAAAAATATCATGGTATCTAGTGACGCGCCCCAAAAAATGAATACATACATACATCTATACTCCCCTCCCCTCCCCTCAAATCATCCTTCATCATGAGAAAAAAAAAAGAGAAATCAAAGGGGGAAAATAGCCCTAGCTACGGTACGGTAGCCATCCGGAAATAACACCAGAAAAGTGAAAAAGAGAAAACTTCCCCCAATGGAGTAAAAGATCTAGTCTCATCTCAACAAAAAAGAAATCTCATCGTGGTCCTCCCATATCACTCGAATACCCATTATACCCATCCGTCATCTGACCTTGTTGAGGATGATATCCCTGCTGTGGCCCCGGGCCACTGGACACATATCCAGCCTCATCACCCTCATCATAATATTCCGAACCACTAGCATCAAAACTACTTCTTCCACTAGGATCATCATCTAGACCAACATCCCCAGTCGGCATATCTGACCAACTCAAATTTGCAAGAGCGGGATATTGTGCAAGCAATGCCGCTGGTAGAGTGTAATTTCCACTTGCATCCATTGGGAATCCATTGGCATCTACCGGAATTGGTTGCTGCATATTATGTTGCATTCGTTGCTCATGCCATTGTCGTTGACGTTCAACTGCTTCCTCGTCTAGTAAAGGTTTTATACAAATTCGACCAGCTTCTGATCGAAAATGTCGTCCCAATGCATCAGCGCGAGCAAACTTTCGACCACATCCCCATTGACCACCTTGCTTGAGCTCTCCTTTACACGTGAATTTCTTCTCTCCTGAATGAAGACCTTCATGTCTCTTTCGATCATGCTGTCGTGCAAAAGCTTTTCCGCAGACCGTGCAAACAAATGGACGCTCATCGGTATGAGTACGCAAATGTGATCGAAGGTTGTAAGCTCGGGTAAATCGTTTAGGACACAGGGTACATTGAAAGGTGGCTGGGTGCTTTTGTACGCGCTTTGCATTATTATCGGGAGTCTGTGCTTGATACTCGGGATCTGCAAGGCCAAGGATGTAGTCACGATTGGGAAGCGAGGATGTTGATTGACGACGTTTGCTCGGTGAGTTAGCTCCAGATCTGTCATTCGGCGATAACGATCGTGAATCTATTGAATGTGGCGTAAGATTTTGGTTCATATTTGGCACCATGCCCGGTGAATGTTGACGTTGCATGCCAGGGCCGCTAGATGAAGTTTGATATCCAGTATCTGATACAGCACGACGACGTCGACCTAGTTTTTGGATTAGAGAATTTCGGGTACGACTGTCTTTGAATAACATACCTCTGTCTGGGGGTGTTAATGCGTCCAGATCAACAGACGGCTTGGGCGGTTCAAAACTATTTTGCCGAGATGCTGGCGCAAATTCAACATTGATCTCAGGAGGGGCCATCACAGGCGCCTGTCCCATATCCATAGAGCCATCTCCATGTTGCGGCATTTGCGGAAAATCTTGCTGGGTACCGTACATCATATTATTTTGCATGCTGTTATGCATATTGTTCTGTTGCTGATTAAAGCCATTCTTAAGTCCAAGCATGAACGAGTTATTGGGATTTGGCATTTGCTGAGGAGTCAATCGTGGCGAAATTGCAGGGCTATGAGCAGGACTCAGACCTCGATGTGGAGTTGGTACCTGCTGAGTATCATTTAAGGAAAAGTTGCCGATACCGAGAACCTCCTGGTATAAGCTGTCTTGTGGGTGTTGCATGGGTGATGGCGAGTGATGAGAATCAATCGTCTCAAAAGAGTCATGATGTCCCATGTTGGGTGAATGGGTATTCGAATGAACTGAGATATCCGAGTATTCAGATGGACTTCTTCTATGTGTTGTGAACTGAGGAGCTCCCATCATACCCCACTCGCCTTGGGTCATTGCTTGTGGGAAAGCAGCACTCTCTGGACCCAAGGAAGCATTACGGGAATGTGAAGGACGGGAATGAGCAGAAGGCTGAAATTGTCCCTGATTGAAATTGGGTGTTTGATGTGCTGAAGGAGAGCGAGAGTCCCGTTGTAGCATATTTGGCGGGGTAGCCGCATGACTTGGTGGAGAAGCCATGTCTAGTTCTTGAAGATTGACCGAAGAGCTTGATTGCTGAGTCTGATTGTTTCCAAAGAAAGGTTGCTCAAATTGATCACTTGGACCGGGGGTTGAGAATAAAGAAAAATCACCCTCGTTAAAATTTGAGATGTTATTTGCACTTAACAACTCTTGGGTAAAGCTTCGCACTGGTGGGGCAAATTCCGAGATGGATTCTTCCTGCTTGAATTGAGTCGTGAAGTCTTGAGTGGTAGCGTAACCAGGATCTCCCATTCCAGCCTGTGAAAAGTGTAAGTTTTGTTGAGCTAAGAAGTCGTTGTTATCATAAGATGGAAGTGTAGTGGAAGAATTGAAGTTGCTGTTTAAGAAGTTCTGATCAACGTTCGTTGATAGAGTTGACAATGTAGGATCCAGGCCGAGTCCGAGTCCTATTGATCCATTGTTCTCCTGAAACTGAGGCGAAGGAGAGTGGTGACGACTTATATGATTCTGTTGATGTCCCGTAGAGGGAGACCGACCACGTTGTGGATCCATGTCGAGGTTTGTTGTTGGTATTATTCTTAGAACACCGATCAAGATTTCTAGTTGGGAATGGTAGTCAGCCTCACAGGCACGGTGGCTGAGCCTTTGAGGCTATGCAACGCGAGAAGACCCACGGTTCTGAGCAACGAGAATTCGAGATGTTTGGCAAAAACGAATGTTTCAAGTGCTTCTATGTGCTCTTAGAGTGCTGACCACTTGGTATGATGCTTTTTTGGACAGTGGACGTGCCTGACGTCTTCGTTGGTGGTTTAGTGGCCCCGGTCGAGAATGCGCAGGCGGCGTGCGGTGACGGTGTACGGTCGCAACCAGAGATCCCCCGCAATTCGGAGCGCCTTATGTTATCGTCGCTGTAATTCCACTGCCAATGTTCCCTTATCCGCGATGCTTCAACCACTGCAATACAGCAACGTTCGTCGCGCCGGCGTTGGCAGATATGATTCAGGGCGGTGGAAAAGGGGGAAGTCGTGAGGCGGTTGCGATCGGATGGAGATGCAGATATTGTATGGTGAGATGAGACCTTCGGGGGGTAGACGATTTTCTGGGCGGTCAATTCTACCTAGACTGGACAGCGAAGTGGTAAGTCAGCACGGTAGTAGATTTGGGTCGTCTTCGCGATTTGCCATAGCAGATGGCAAGTATGGAGAAGGGAGTTTTGGAGGGTGCAAGAGCCGTCGCCGTCGCCGTCGCCGTCGCCGTCGCAGTCGCAATTTCTGGTAAGGCTGATTTGGGGGCCGGGAAGTTGCGCTTACCTGGCCTGCAGGTCTCTGTGGTCTGCAGTTGGAGTTGGGGTCGCAATTTGGTTTTGCGACAACCACAATGCCCAATCTTCATGCGCTCGTTGAGGGACAATGAAAGCTACGTACGAGTACTCGAGTACGGGTACAGGCGAGGGCAAGGGCAAAGGTTCTGCTGGTGTTGACGCAAAGATGTGAATTGGGACGAGGTCTCTCTTCGGGTCGAGAGAGGGGCGGTATGTAGGCAGGATGTAGGTACTGTCGGTACACGGTGCGAAGGAATTGAGAGGATAAGGTATCTGAGGGTGCGAGGGGGAGGGGCCAGATGGTGAAGGTGGTGCTTGAAGGTGTTGCGTGCTGCTGCTTCTGAAAGTGGAGCCGACCGGCGACGTTGATTGGATGGTACCCCTGAGGCTGGGCGGCTCGCGCCTAAGTCAGTTCACCAGAATATTGAAGATCTGCACCTGCAGTGAATCGAAAATGCTCCCTGGACTGCTATACGAATACTCATCCATAGCTGATGTATCCAAAATAGGCAGCAACAATAGACTATGGCAACTCATCTCACAGTGCAATAATATTAAAATAGAAAATATTCACCATATAAAAAAGACCAATCTGCATTCCGGTGTCTACATCTCTCAAATCATTCATTGGAATTGTTGCCCCACTACATAGCTATGGTTGACTGGTACGAAGTAAACATTTAGTAATAAGGCTGTGCTGTGAAGCGCAACGAGCCGGTTGGTCAACTTTTGATGTTTATTCTACCTACTGTACAATCTAGGTACAGCAGCACAGCCTTCTCGTTTCATCAAGATAGCTAGCTTAAGCTTGATAAATAGTTCCTTACTAACCAGATAGACGTTGAATCGTTGAATGTTGGATATCCCAGCTATTTCCGTAGACTTTGGATGTCGTCCAAGTCCAAATCAGCCCTGACACCTCTCAAGCGCTCACATCCCAATGCACTTTCTTTTTCGAAAGAACGCACGGAAGAAGGATAATTGGTCCCATCGCTTCTATTTCAGGACGTTCATGACTCTCGAATATGAGATGATGGCCAACGCCAACGTTCAATATCCAACCAACACCCGACTCTCGCTTCAACTTCTCGGCTCGGCCGTCCCCGATGTTCGCTCCGGTTGTCATAGCTCCGATGGTTCATTAACTTGGGAACGAACCCAAGGTCTTTTCCCAGGAAAAAATTCAACTTTGAAACGTTGTCACAGGAGGTTCAGTTTGAGGTTGGTCAAGTTCGAGTTTGTCCAGACCTCGTTCTTTCGCACCTTTCTTTTCTTTTCTGTTGCCGCTTGCCGATTATTTGTTGGCCCTTGTTGGATGTTGAAATGTTAGGTGGTAATGATCCTATTGTTCTCCTCAAGAGTTGGAGATGTCTTATTCAATTATCTTATTTTTATCTTGAGTTATTAGAACAATCACGCATTGTTTCATATAGGTAGCGTAATGCGAGCTCTTCGCTGTCGCTGAACGATGTCTATCGCCACAACAGTAGAGAAAAACTGGTAGAGAACTGGTCAGGAACTCAACACCAGAAAGCCAAGACGCCAACTATTTATCGATATGCCGGAGATAGTTCCTTTCAAGCCCTTTCAAGGAGTATACAATTGATTCCAACAACAACAAAAAAACTGTCTCTTCCTTATTCGAAATTCTCTTCTTTGCTGAGAAAGCATCGCGTCAACAAGTCATTCATGTGGGACACTGTCCATTATCGATTATGCCAAGATCCACGGTTCTCATAGACTTCCAATGAAAAGCCCTGTTCGGGCATCAAAAGGAGATTATTGGTACAGTACAAAAGTAGATATGTGCATACGACATTATTCCATGATGCGTAAGGCCAATAGTTCAGGATTCACAGCAAAAGCTATTACCACCGCAAGCTGCAGACGCCCATTACGAAGTCATTGGAAAGCACCATTGTCCATATCAAGTTAGTGCTCACCAAGTACTCCCCCCGCCCTCTGACTGATGGTTATGAAAGCAACAAATCTGTGAGACATGAGATGGCACCACAAGCTAGGTAGCGTAGCCTTGGAAGGTTCGAGGGCTCGTGCTTGTGCTTCTGTTTGTGCTTTACTAACAAATGATATGGTGACGTGAGGGGAAAGCGCGATGCTGATTAACAAATTGTCATCCACCTATAGGTACTGTAGCCACCGACGCCAGCTTCGGGGCCCTTGCCGACCTCTGACAGGGATGTGACACAAGCTGGAGGGGACAGCAATAAATAAAGATCACCTCCCCTCCTCAACAAATACCACAATCAATTCCAAATCTCCTCATACTCCTCATACTCCTCATACTCCTCGTACTCCTCGTACTGTTAAGCATACAGCTGCGTCATCTCCATCATCACTTTTTCCCCATCAAATTTCAGTCGAATCCTCCTTTGAAATGGCTCCCAAAGTAGCTATCGTCTTTGTAAGTGCTTTGCTTTTACCCCACCACCCCGCATTCCCCTTACGGATCGCCATCCTCCATTGACTTTCCCACGACCTCAAACTCAACACTCTCCCAAAATCGTAATTGACTAATGGCGTGCCACAGTACTCGATGTACGGTCACATCGCTCAACTGGCCGAAGCTGAGAAGGCCGGTTTGAAGAAAGCTGGTATCGATGCCGACATCTATCAAATCAATGAGACCCTCCCTGAAGAAGTCCTCGCCAAGGTAAGTCGCTCTTCTACTTTCCACCTGCTCGAGCTCATCTAGAACATTACTAATTGTAAGTCAATGTTGTAGATGCATGCACCACCTAAGAAAGACTACCCCATCGCCACCAACAAAACCCTCGAACAATACGATGCCTTCCTCTTCGGCATCCCAACCCGCTACGGAAATTTTCCCGCGCAATGGAAAGCATTCTGGGATACAACGGGAGGCCAAGTACATCCCCTTCTCTCCTATTTCCATTCCACCATCAACCCCCCTTTCACCCTTTCCAATCCAACCTACTCTCACTAACACCCTCACAGTGGGCATCAGGCGCCTACTGGGGAAAATACGCCGGCGTCTTCGTCTCCACCGGCACCCCAGGCGGCGGACAAGAAAGCACCGTCATCTCGGCCATGTCAACGCTCGCCCACCACGGCTTCATCTATGTCCCGCTCGGCTACAAGACCTCGTTCCCTATCCTGTCGAATATGAGTGAAGTGCGCGGTGGAAGTCCCTGGGGAGCAGGAACTTTTGCGGGGGGTGATGGAAGTCGACAGCCGTCTGCTTTGGAGATTGAACTTGCGACCGTTCAAGGCGAGAGTTTTGGTAATGCCGTTGCGAAGGTGGGTTTTTAGGGTGTTGATACTACGTCACTCTGGTATGGTGTTCTTTGAAACGGACAGGCAGGCCGTTGCAGAGATGGTAGTCTCGATGATGGAAGGCTATGGATGTGAAAGGGAGGGATCCAAAGGAAAAGGGAAGGGAAAGAATAAGAGGGACCCTAGGGGTAACCCACTAAGTTGAGTGTGCACTCCTCCTAAGTCTAGCTTAACTCCTTCTCTCTTTAATCATGAACGAATGAATGAACCCAAATTCTCACCAGCAAACCTTTTAGCTTCCAATTTCATTTCATTCTTATATTTACTCTATCCCAAGCTCCACTCTCTCAATCCTCTTGCCTATCCCAAAATCTCTCTTCTCTACCTCCTCTCTACCCAACTTCAATCTCCAAATCTCTATCTTAACCTCAACCTTAACTATACTCTCAATTCTAATTTTCATCTCTTGTTTTTTTTACTATACCTACCCTCTTCACCTTACCTTACCTTACCCTCTTTACTACTACGATATATTAGTCTTATTCTTAGACTCTTGGGCGAGACTTCTATTATTGCTAGGTAGTACCGTAACTATCTTTGTTATATATCTTAGTAGATAGCTGGTTTTATAGAGGATGGAGATGGTGTTATAGAGCTAGTGTTATAGAGTCTTCTACTTTACCTAGTTAGGGAGGGGGGTTAGGGAGGGGGGTAAGGAGAAGGAGAAGGAGAAGGAGACATAAGGGGTTTTTTTTGCTTATGGAATTGAAATTGAGAATGAAATGAGAGGGTAGGAGATATGATTTTTTTGTCCTTGAAAAAGTGTAGATGGATGATGAAAAGATCGTTTATTAGGACTTGAATATTAGGGAGAGATATAATTTTAAACTATAGTGTAGTGCGACTAGGTAGGTTTATAGGTTCTAATATATTTTTCGGTCCATCGCTATATATATCCCTTCCAGACTCGAGAGTGCCGGGTGCGGTCGTGCGCACTTGTGGATATAATATATAGGTTAAATTAAGGCTTAAGACCTTGGAAAGTAGGTTTATATAGATTAAGCTACAACACGTAAAAACACAGTAATAAAAACATAAAGATTTCTCTGCTCGGTATACTAGCTACTATAATAAATCTTATAGCGACGCGTATCAATATAGGGAGAAATGTCTAGAGATTCTATAGAAACCATTACTTCTATTTTTGTGACAGACGTGCTTCAGGTAGAACTCAGAACAATTAACACTCTATTCTTAGGACAAAAGACGAGGAAAGAAGGAGAGCTCGAGAGAGCTGGGAACTAAATACAGGTCGTGCGCGCTAGCGCCTCGCTAAGCGAGCATGTGACATCCAGCCCTCGTGACCATAACCGTCACA